CTCTCTCTCTCTCTCTCTCTCTCTCTCTCTCTCTCTCTCTCTCTCTCTCTCTCTCTCTCTCTCTCTCTCTCTCTCTCTCTCTCTCTCTCTCTCTCTCTCTCTCGTTCTTGTTCCATCAATATTTGCCTGCTGAATTTTGCCTTTTCCCTTCAGCTAGCTTCAGGGAAGCAAGAATGGGTTAAAGTAGGAGATTGGGATGACTATGTTCTCAAGATCGGTATGGAAGTTTGATATTTTGTTGGTTTTTGATTAAATGAATTCTGACTGCTTTTGTTCCATTCTTGATTTGACGTTTACTTAGTAGATTTCATGTCTTGGAAGATAATTGTGGTGTTAGTTGAATTCTTTAAGTTCAATGATTGGCGAACAATGCTATTATTGTAAATAGTTTTTTGTTTTGTACTTTATAGTATTCTGGAATGTTTAAGGGTAGATTACCCCTTCTCTTCAGTACCCTTTTTCACTAAGCATTTTCATGACCTGTAAAACCGGAGGAGTTTTTTTTTCTCTTCTTTATTTCAACCAAAAATGTAAATTCTTGGATATTGCACAGAATTTATTTATTCCCCTAATCTTGTCTTTAAGTGGTATTAGAGATTCTAGATGTATGCTTGTTGCTTAAGGTTTGAAAAAACGGATTGGTGACCCCGGATCAGTCACCCCAAAAATAGGGTTGTATCGGTGATCTGGATCGGAGAATCGGTCGGATTGGCCAATTCTGGATTTAAAAAATTCAAAAAATATTAAAAATCCCTAAAAATAGTGTTTTTTGTGTTTCCAAATGTTTTTTTGGGGTGGTGAATTATGTTCTTTCATTATTTTGCAAACATATATAAATATTGAGATGCCATTCCCCTGTCTGGATGTCTGTTGACCATTGAATATTATGGGGTTCTCAAACTCTAAAATTCCTATTGAGGATAACTTCTCTCTCAGTCAATTTTGTTTATGGCCCTTAGTGAAGAAACATGGGCGGCTGCAAGATCCAAGTATTGAGTTCATTGAAAACTTAAATAGAGTATCCTCAAGTTTAAAAACTTGAAGGCATCAAGTTTTTTTTTTATGTGTTTATGTATTATTTATTTTATTTTCATAGGTTTTTTTTTTTATTTTATGCAAAAAATTATATTTCATTTTTTAGCCATATCAATCACCAATTGTATTTTAATTTCCTACAATAAAAAGAAGCGGAGTTGTGGAAAGGGAAAATATTTGTTCTACCAGGGACTTAGCAATGCAACGGGGTATCTAAAAAACGTGCTTCTCACCTTTCTCTAATGACAAAAGCCTTATGTTCCTATGTGTGGCGTACTCTATATCAATGATGCGTGGACATTGAAATGGGTTTCGGTGTCCAGTATGTATTGGAGTGTCTAGTACATAGGCCAAAGATCCCAGTACTTCTTTGACACATCCATCATCATCATCATCATAGTCTTTTTTCAATTAATTGGGGTTGGCTGCACAAATCCTAGTTCGCTATTCTACTCTATTAAGGACCATACCTTCAGTGAGACCATAAGTCTCGACACATCCATATAATACTTAATTATCAATTATAAATTATAAATTATTTATAAAAAATATACTAAAATAACAAATGCAAAAAAAAAAAATCAGGAAAATAGTTTCTATTTTACTTTGGTTATAATTAATTTTGAAACTTTGGTCATAATTATTATGTGTCATAGGTTGTAAAACTTCCATGTACGGAGAGAGCGAGAGTCTTGAGGTTGTGGGTTCAAATCTTGAATGTTTTAGTGAATATGATTTAAATGTTAGTTACTGGTTCTATGAATTTATGTAATTTCATGGTCCCATATAGCATTAGATATTTGTTTAACATGATTGTCTACTAAGTTTTTTTTGTAAAGAGTAGATTCATTCGAAAACATCATGCATTTTTTTTAGTAGAAGAGTAGCCAACGTGCATTAAACAGCATGCATGGTTTTTTAGGAAATTCAAACCATACACGTTGTTATAGAACGAATGATATTTCCAAAAAAACCATGCATGCTGTTTAATGCATGTTGGCTACTCTTCTACTGGCCGTCATGTCATAGAACTCCCATGCGCCGCTTGGTAGTGTGAACCACTTCATGCCGTGAGGTCTTGTTTTTGAACCCCAGTAGAGTAAGAAAAACGTTTTTGCCTTTGTATTCATTAAAAAAGAAGTGGTATTCATTAAAAAAGAAGTGGAACAGGCCTGAACCGGTATGGATTGGCAAAGAAGTAGTACGAACCGCCCTTCACCGGGCCTGTTCTGCGGGGACTCGGTTGGTCCCTAATATATGGCGGTAACGGGATCGCCCAGGTCGATTTTGTTAAACCCTGCTGTTGCCTAAGGTATTGAAAATCTATGCTTCCTTGAGTGTGGATATATTCATGATGGTTTGCTGATCTGTGCATCATGTGGGGGTTCATCTAATTTTCCATCATTTTGAAGTCATAGCGATTGTGGCTTTCTACTACCCTTGACCTTTCAGTTGTCTCCTGTTGATTGTTTGGATGCAAATTGTGCTATTTTCATCTGACCATTTCCTACTTCCACCCCCAAGTATGTGTATTCTTCTTGGAATTAGGACTCCCTGATTTATTGATAAGAGTACAAAGCAGCTTGCTGTCTTCATATCCAATGCTGAAGAAAACAACACCTATGAGATTGCTTAGCTGCACCCACTTTTAGATGGCTTATGCACTCATCTTGCCTTACGTAAGCTTTTCTTCAATATTCCTCGAGTGATTTATCAGAACAACGTTGTTGATTATCTCTTTGATCTGGAGAACATTGTGGATCACACCATCATTCTCCCTCTCCCACATATTCCTCTGCCTTGCTGATTGTTGGCTTGTTTTAGAGAGTCTCAAATTGTTTCCTGATATCATCACTGCAAATTTTAATGTGCATGTCAGGAGCTGTTTTTGTATGTTTTGTTGAGAGGCATTATTGCTACAGCATTGTATTATTTTTTCAGTCGTATTGCTAGGACCAAATTGGATCATTTCTTTAGGCTTTAATTGTTTGCCTCTTAACTTATGTGCAACTTATCCCTTGTACATTAAAACTGCTTATATTTGGGCCTGTTCTGCACTTGTATTAAGCAATCACGCTTTATGCCAATTAGCATATATGCATGAGGTGTTAGAAATTTTATTTATTGAACAAAAGACAAGAACAATCTGAGGCATTAGTGTTGCTTTCCTGGAATTTTACTTTAAGTTTTATGACTCAAGCATCTGAGTCAGGTTCCTTATGTTCTATGTATCCATGACAAATTTTGTAAAATAAACGAGGGAAATCCCTTGAAACTGTTTTTTTTCTTTTCCATTAACAATGTCAATTGTGAAAAAGATTTTCCTGACGTGACATTTGGGCATTAATAATGTCGAGGAGTAACTAGTTAACCAAGTTATCTTTATGTCTGTGTTGAGCAGTTATGTAATATTCTGTCGTAGTCTTTTGCCTGTTGGATCCAATGAAATTTTTTGATGTGGCATTGGAGCATTGAGATTATATTCACAGCTTTTTACAAACCATGCTTTCACAGATTGAGATGTTTCAATCTATGATCAGAAAGTGATATTGGTGATGTGTTCTACCTATGTTTGAAGGAGATATGTTTCTGCATGCTGAATATATGATGTTCTCCTTTTTTGCTCTCAGGATTTGTTCTAACGGTTTCATCCATGCTAGAATTACTAAAAAGCTGTTATTGATGCAATTGCAGACAAACAAGAAGCACGTGCATATTCAAAAGACATATCCTCTTATTGTGGAAGGTAAGAGAGAACTATTCATTTTAATCAAATATATTGTTTATCATTTTCTGTGGATTATAATATATGTCTATCATAGTTTTTTGTGTTGTTCAGCAATTTCTCCACTATCTGTGGTGTCAGAAAAATAAATTTGTGCTATTCTTGATTAATGCTATACTTTTAAGGTAACCATTTATAAATTGCTGACATTTAAGTAGCCACATATTCTTCTACATGAAGGTGATACTTTTTGTGCAAAATGATCCGAAGCAATGTCAGAAGTTTTATTTCTTGAGCTCGTAGAAACATCATATTTTGACAAAATGAGAACTATCAATGTATCAAAATCCTTTTTCCTATATGATAAAAAATCAGTGCAAGAAAAAGAATCAGTAAAAACATCAAATGGCACTTTCTCCACAAAACTTGCGGTAGTTTCACCTTGAGGAATCATATTGCCAGTTGATGGTCTTAAATCAAGGTTACTAGAAACTAAGGAGAAAGAATCTGACTGCGAAGTTTCTAGAATTGGCTTTAGTTTCTGTGGGCCAAAATGGTTAGAGAAGACTGAAAAACGGGATAGGAGTTCCATTTCCTCCATCTCATTGGTATTTGGCTGAAACATAGAGTTTTGGCATCTTTGACTGAAGAGAAGGTAACAGCAATATTAGTTCCCTCTGAATGCTTCTGCACTAAATGTTCCTGTTTCGCAATTGCTTTATTATTATTAGTATTATTGTTTTTTACTGCTGAGGTTGTATATTGTTTACCCTTATTTTGATTTTCACATTCGTACCTAATCTCATAGTCCTTTTTTCTTTTCTTTTGTGCAAAGGTTGCTGGAGGAAACGGAAGATGAGGTTAGCTATGAATACTTTTGACCATTTTGTTGGGAAGCATAATGTTATGTTCATTTATGTGCACACGGAGTATTTCATTATCAACCCCCAACTCATTCTCTTATGCAAACATATTTGTTTCCGTATTACTTAGCATACATGACTTCTATTCTTTGGTGCAGTTAGCTGAATTGATTAAGAAAGGGTCTGTTAGGACAGGAGATGTAAAAAAGGTTCTTTGCCATGATCTCAGCAAACATTGCAGTCTATCAGGGCAAGTTCCAAAATGAACTTAAATGCCTTTTCTTTAAATTTTGTTGAGATGCCGTTAAATGTATAATATATTATTATTGAGGCTTAATCCTTTAAACTACCATTTTATGGAATAAAAATGAATTCTAATGAAAACAATGAATTGTTGTGCAGAAACAGTGGTGCCTCTGATTTAATAATTGAGGAACCAGATGAGGACCTCTGAAGAGCTAGAGGCAAAGCCATGGTTGTTTTGTTCGACAACTATACTGCAGATATTAGATTATATTATTCAAGGTTGCCATATTTATGATCACTTGTCCATTTCAAAGTAAACAAGAAGCCAGTTTTGTTAGAGGTGCTATCTTTTGGAACAGACCAAAAGAACGGTGACATTATTTGACCCATTCCTGCATGTTTTGTGTGCCATTAACTTTTGTCTGAAAAGAAGACCAATATGACAGAACCTCTGGGGTTGCAAGGCCCCATAAATTTTAGAGCTATACAGATCACAGTCAATCCTTGGAACTTAGGAAATCTCTTATTTATGACTAGACTTTCACTTTGATGATGATGGAAAAGTTTGATGAAAAGCTGAAGTTCATTTCAGATTTTCATATCTGCAGATACTGGTTTATGTTATGCAAAAAGATGCAATCCCAATTCTCCTATCATGTCAGTTTTTTCATCCTTCGATTTTTCTTCTGAGTATGGATTGGATAATCTTTTAGTGATGTGTTCTTATTGCTTCTCCCAACGCAAGAAGAAAAAGAAGAAAAATTTCTTTAAGATAAAAACAAAGTTATGGATTGGACTTGGGGGCATGGGTTACTTGTGTTTCAGGGTCCCCACAAAGCCAGGCCATGTGTTAGCAGCCTTTCTGGGAAGCTCCCATAATGATATTAAAAGTGGACCAGACACCTAGTTCCAGTAGGCTGCAACTCCAATCAGATTGGCCATTTGCATGTCCAGTATGGGCCTCTCAACATTGAGGATAAAGTTATATTGTCTTCTGATATTTAATATTGTCTATTTGATTTCTCAATCGTTTGCAAAATTAGTGACCATGAATACATGTAACTCATTTGATGTACTCAAAAGAAGATGATGTAGTAGCTTTTGTGAACTATTTTTACTCAAGACTAGGAGGCACGGAGATCGAACCCAACTTGGATCCAGCTCCCTTTGTGCTCTGAGGACCTACAGAGATCCCTGCTAATTAAATGGAAAATTTACTGTGTTAAAGCTAGAGTCCATTGAGTTATCACCATCCAATGAAATAGTGAACTGTGATAATGAGAGGGGCCCTCCATTGGATCATGCTCTTGTTGGGGCCTCATCCATCATTCAATTGGTTGGCAATCATCCCAAAGTACCATGGTATTGCATAGTCCATTAGATTATTGCTTACCATCCTCAGGTTGCATTAGAAGGTTTCTTTAATGAAGCGTTTCCACAAATATGCTTTCCACTTTATAACAGGAATCATTAAAGTACCTTTATCACCCCTGTGGTTTACAACTTTAAATGCAATGGAGTATTTCAGTCGCTAGTTTTCGCCATGACACATCAATGTTTCTCTGTATTTACCATCCTTAATATAGTTGTCGTCTCTAAGTAAATTTTGAGTAGTATTAGGTGTTCCTATATGTGTCACATCTTACGTGGCTACGAATCCGAAACATGCCGATTTTGTTTCATAAAATATTCATTAATCTTAACCATCTATATTTGCACTGGAAACATAACTTCGGTGACAAAATTATGTGAAAAGTCCCACATTTTGTCCAGATAGTAAACTCTACACCTGTCAAATTGATATTTGAATGTAATTGAACAATTACGTGGGGCACATTGAATGGTAAGCTCAAGCCAAAAATTTATTGGACAGAAACTCATATGATTTGAGATAGTGCAGATTGAATGGTAAGCTCAAGCCAAAGCTTTATTGGACAGAAACTCCTATGATTTGAGATACACAAATAAAAATAAATTATAAATTATAAAAACCAAAACAATTGCCTAGTCCTCTCCAACACAGCTATGAAACCTCAAATGTACAAGTTCCTGCCAGTTAACCACTCCTATTCTATCCTACAACTTATTTTTTGAGGGGTCAAATATCTGCCAACACTAGCAAGGCCAAGTGAAAAAAAAAAACACCCTTGAAAAACCTCCATATTGCACTTGGATCCCTCAAAAAAAAAAAAAAAAAAACAAGAAAAGAAAAGAAAAAGAACCTAAAGACAGTAGGAAAAGGAGAATGCAGCTAGGAACCTACATCCATTTTATCTCCTCCAGTTCTGCTTCATCTCCCCCATTTGCTCACAGACTGTTGATAGCTCCTCCGTATTACATGCGGGTACCTCAAAAAGTTGAAAACAATCAAAAGAAGAAGGGAAAAAAAAAGAAAAGAAGAAGCAAAAATCTGCCTTCCCTTTAACTTCTCCAAATTTCCTCAAACACTATCCAATGCCCCTTTCAAGAAATTCAACCCCTCAGCTGATATACTCCTCCTTACCCGTGTCTTTGGGATTTCAATTCGTGGGGGTGGATCAGCCGAAAAACAAATCACAACCACAGTCAGGTTATCACAAGTATTACGCTTTAGGGCCTCTCTAACCAACTCTCGAGAACATCTCTCAGGGTCATTGTGGAGCATAAGCTCTTTCCTTGCTATGGTAACAGCGCACTGGCTACTCATAACATCCCAAAGGCCATCACACCCCATTATCAAGAACTCGTCTTCTTCACCAAGTATTGCTTCTTGTAACTCAGGTTCGGCACTTAAGGGGCATGCTGAGCCCTTTGGGCCCTTCATGTGCCAGTCTCCTAAAGCCCTTGCAACTGATAGCTGCCCATTTAGATAGCCATCATAGACCATGCCACCAAGCTTCTCGATCCTCCGTCTTTCTATGGAGCAGTTTGGCTTGTGGTCTCTAGAGAGCTCTATTGCTCTGCCCCTCTTTCCCAAGACTGCTCGGCAGTCACCTGCATTGGCAATGAGCATGGTCCTGCACAGAAAAGGAAGAGGAAGTTTCATGATTGATTCATTCACCGTCCATGGCTTCAGTTGTGTTTTTGGTTCCCAGTAAAACATGCACAGATGGGATTGGATTATATTATTAGGCATATAGGTCAATCATGTAGCAGATGGGTTTATATGAATTCTATGTGTCTGTCTAAAGGTGTGCTTGAGGAGGATTAGTATTCATATAATACTAAGTTTCCGAGTAATTCATCTTTCCGCATGTATGTATAATACATTTATAAAACGCAATTTCATTCTTTAGATATCTAACATCATTTTCCATGGGGCATGTTTGGTCTGTGTGAAAATCTTTCCCAGGAAGCATAGCATTTCACGCATACCAAACGTGCCCAGTAAAACACGCATGGATGGGATTGGATTATATTTTGGCATAGGTCAATCACGTAGCATATGGGCTTATATGAATTCTATGTATTTGTTTCTATCTGTCTAAAGGTTTGCTTGAGGAGGATTAGTATTCATATAGTACTAATCTGAGTAATTTATCTCTCCGCATGTATGTATCATATACTCATAAAGCGCAACTTTGTTCTATGTTCCTTGGGGATGTTATGCTATAACCCAGTTCAGTGTAATACATGGCACTTCAAAGGCCATCCAGCATCAGCTTGTATTGATGGACAGTAGAGAGATTAACCATCATGTTTTTCCACCATCCATGATCAGCAGTGATGGTGGCCACTGCTATGGAGTAACATATACCATACTAAATTGCATTATGATATACTTGTACTTTTTGTTGTTTCTTCCTTTTTTGGGTGGGTAACTATAGAACTAGAGATTAACCATCATGTTTTGTCACCATCCATAATCAGCAGTGATGGTGGGTGCTGCTATGGAGTAACATATACAAGACTCAATTGGACTATGATGTACTTTTCCTTGAGTTGAATTCAAGAGCACAGTCCTGTGGACCAACATATATTGTTGTTCTTTTTTTGCTTATCAATCATAAACAAAATAGTAATTCTATTAATGATGATGATAAAAGTTCCAGGGCACTGATAAGAATCCCTCACAACGGCAAGAAATTAAGAGAAGATGGGCAGATGAAGAAGGATTGTATATTTTCATTACCGTCCATATATAAGCGCTGTTAGCGCTGTTGTGCCTGAAGAGCTGTCAAGGGAATGGGCATCTGCAAAAGCATGATCCGCCTTTGCAAATGCACTTGTGATGGCCTTATCCATGCATCTGGGAAAATGAGAATCCTCAACCATGAACTTAAGAAGGTTCTTTCTTATAAATGAAGCAGCATCTGTACCGCCATGACCATCAAAAACCTGTCCATATCAAACGCTATACTAATTATTGCCCATGGATAGTGCTCATATGGACAGTGCTAATTCTGTCCTATCAGGGCCTCAAGAGGACCCTTAACTGAGTAAAATCTCTCTCTCTCTCTCTAACACACACATACAGAGTGTGAACCACCTAAGTAATCGAATCATAAAGCAATCTCTCTCTCTCTCTCTCTCTCAGTACCATTTTTTACATGTTTTCCTGTGTGATTGTGTGCTTCGCGGTTTTAAGTTTTCCTAATTTTGTTTTCTGTAACAAAATGATTCCAATCGAAAAGCAAACTCAAGGTCATTTTAGCATACATACACCATAGAATGCGCCAGGGGTTGGGAAGTCCTGAACAGCAGTACCAAGATACTCCTCAAGGTTATCAATACAAACATGTTCATCCTCCATATATGGTTTGGGACCTATCTCAGTGCAGCTACCAGACCGAAATACAGGTATAAACGCGGCCTTTCCATCAGATGGTGGCTTCACGACTTCAATTACATTATCTGAATCCTGCAGAGAGACCCGATGATTAAAACCAGAAAGTAGCCTCTCCTTTCCTCGAATTCAAAAACAAGATATTCCCCCTTCTCCTCATAATAGTTAAGCTTCGATCTCAAACCTTGCAGAGAGAAAATTCTAACAAATAAATTAGCATAAGAGTAACTACACACCAGAATTAATCAGAAACGCAAGCAACTCATTCATTAGCAATAATTTTTGCTAGAGAGAAGCCACTTTGCAGGAAGTAGTGAAATTCAAAGATCAAAGTATTCTGTCCATTTGTGTGTGGGTTTGCATGGGTGCGTTAGGGATAATGAATATTTGATACCAAAATAGTATGTCCACCTATCACCTAGACAATGAATTTTCAAGATTAAAGCGGATGTCACACAGTCCTCAATAGCAACTACTCAAGAAATTCTGGTGCAAACATCATTATTCAGAGTGGTATTGTTCATGGTTTTTGCATGAGCAAGGCCAAAGGTTCGGATTTTGTCCCGGAAATAGTTATTTTCAGGATAAATCCTTGAACACTAGATATTGACAAATAAAAACCAGAATGGCATTCAATTCCAATACACCAACACAGCGCAATACCCAGAAGGTAAAGAAATAAACAGACAAAAATAGCATATGAGTTGTATTCTATCTGACAAATCCAAAACATCTTCGATTATTAATCTTCTATCAGAAATCATAAAAAATCTTAAAATTTAACAAAAAAGGAGAAAAGAGAAATGGAGGATATAAAACACTCACCAATTCGGCAGCAGTCGCGAGGCGTGCAGTACTAACACAATGCCGCATACACGAAATGTGACGAGGGGGCTTCCCAACCATCATCTGCTTCAAATTCTCATGAGCCCCTGACCCCTCTTCATCTGATGAACTCCCCTTTTCCTTATCATACCCGCCTTCTAAAAGAGCGAATGGAGGCGATAAATCAGTTCCGGCTGCCATTGTTACCTCTTCTCCGTCTTCCCAAACATAAAATCCCCTTATATCTCTACCCAAAACCAGAAAAACCCAACACCCACTTTGGACCAACAAATTTTAATCTTCAACAACAGCTGCTCATGTTTTCCTGCCTCCCCACCTTGCCTCAAATTTTTTATTTCACAACAACTTCTCAAGAACTAATCAATAATCCAAAATGCTCAGCACCCCAATTTCCTAAAAAAACTACTGATAAAACTAGAAAGAAATCCAATTTACAAATCCATAGTGAATTCACAGAATTCTTCTATTGAACAGTTCTACTAAAGATGGGATCTTAAGTTCTTAAAGATAGAAACCCTATTTAACACACATTGATTCCACCAAACTAAAAAGAGACCCATAAATTTTGCAAATACATTTAATGAAAAAAAGTGGGTTTTTTGAGATCTAAAGGAAACAGATCACTCGCCCCTGGTTTGATGAGAGAGAGAGAGAGAGAGAGAGAGCCAATAAATGTAAGAGAGAGAAAGGCACAAAGAAAGAGAGCCTTTTTATATCTCGAATGGGTCAGGAACCTGCCACAGACGGTTTCCAAGTCACCCGCAGCGGTCGGAGAGGCCGACAAACTGACACGTGGCGAGATCCCAGAGGCCCAAACCCTGTTGACCAAAGCATTCGTGGGCTCACTTGGCCGGTAACCGGTCACCAAAACCCCGGACGTCCGATCATCTTTTAGTGGCAGAGCTAACCGTAGGATAGGTGTTAGGAACACGTGACTTGACGGTAACGGTGCTATGTGACGACAAGTGAACGGCGTCATATGATCCTTTAGTTTGACAGCTGGCCGATGGAATTGGGTGCAAAGATTGCCGTGGGCTTCGGGCCAACCGTTTTCCATTTGACGGAGCCGTCACTGCCGTTTGCGAACGGAGATATTTATGTGACGGGGTCTGATTAGGTTTATTTAAGTGGAGGGTGTGAGATGAATCACATTTTTCGCACTTTTGTTTTTTAAGTGGAGGGTGTGAGATGAAATCACATTTTTCGCACTTTTCTTTTGTGGGTGGGGTGAGTCCTTTCAGCACAACCCCTCATTTCTTTCTCCCGCTTGTACATATTTTCATCTTTTATTTTTATTTTTATTTTATAATAGTGGCGATTGTTTGGCCTTTTTCATGTGGTTTTTAGGGTTTCAAGGTGTACTAGATTTAGGGCGAACCACGGTAACTTTTTCAAGGGACAGGTCCTTGTTTTTTTTTTTTGGATGGTAACTCGGGGATTTTTTTAATTAATGGAAATAGTTAACTTCGTATTATAAATGTAAGTTACACCTTAAAATCTAGTAGAAAAAAATGTTCCAAAGTTAGAAGACTTTCTAATTGATTATCTCAATCAATCTCAAGACTTAGAGTATAATAACTAAATGACTTTCAAACCCTAAAAATAATTCTATCTTGCATTAAGTTATTTAGACTTTATTTTTAAGATTTTGAAATATTTATAGATATCTTCAATTTGAAGCATTTTTGAAATTTTAAATTTCATAATTATGGAACGGAATGTTGGACAGTAAAGAAAAAACATATCCAAAGTATAAGTGTAGTTGAGATGAGAATATTGAGATGGATGAATGGCAAGACAAGACATGATAGAATTCAAAATGCATGCATATGAGGAAACTTAGGGGTAGCTCTAATAGACAATAAGATGAGAGAACATAGACTTAGGAGGGTTGACCATGTGTAGATCAAACCTAACAATTAGGGTGAACGATTTGGTTCAAGTGAAATGCTCTAAAAAAAAAACAAATGAAAGATCCAGATGATATGAGTAGAAGTAGTGAGAAGCAATACGATAACTTATGATCTAATTGAGGGTACGGCCATTGGTAAAACAAAAAGGCATAACATGATTTTTGTAATTGACCCCAAATAAATAGGTAAAACCTTGGATGATGATGATGAATGTATGAACATGGATTTTTAAACCCTCGTAAAATTTTTAACACCAGAATTACATCTTCCAACATAACTTAAAGGTGAACCTTAATTGTACATAATAAGATCGGCACCTTATAAAAACTCACCCTTTATTAATTTTTTTACAAATATGCAAGTGGACAGCATTTTTTAAGGAAAATTATAAAAGCTCCCTACTTTGAATTTTCTACCTATAAATCCCTTTATACTATTTTATTCACGCGGGAAACCTTCTTATTGTATTGATCCATTGGTGAACACTGTAGTGTAGGTCTTTTTGGATGAAAATACCTTTTTAGTCGAACACAAAATTTTAAGGTTGATACAACCTTGAGGAAAGTTGTTGGAGCCGGGTTCCAATTGGCTTTAAGTTTAAATTTTGTTTTGTGCTTCCCTAAGAGGAGTATTTTGTTCAATATGACAAAAATCATCCCGGGGAGAGGGAGTGGTCAATACAAACAAAAACAGTAGCAAAGTTTATAATGTGATTTTTTTTTTATGCTTTTATTTTTTATTTTATTATTATTTTTTTAATCTTTGTTTTTTTTGGGTTATGGGGTTTACTTTATTTTCCCCCCTCTTTTTTATAAGATACAAATAATGGAGTAAATAACTTAACTACCAAAATTCGTTGCCCAATACCGCTTGGCCAAATTGTGGGCTTCCAATTTGGCATGTGTGTTATGTTAATACACTTTCTTAGCTTGCTTGAATTTTGTTTCTAACCCTAAGCCTTGACTACGAGAGGAGAATTTTATCTATTTGATTTTTAACCAATCCCTAACTCAATATATTATGGGATTTTCTAATGAAATTCTATCAAAATTGAGTTTAACACTAATTTAGAAGGGAGAACCCATCTAGGGGTTGCAATGGACCCGAACTCAACCCGTGACCCTATGACCGAACTTGACTCGGGTCTGAGTATCGGTCCAAAAATTGGATCTAGCGGGTCGGGTCTGGGTCCAAAATATTTCGGTTTGGGTCTGGACCCGGATCGACCCGATCCAAATAGTGCAATGTTTTAAATAATAATTACTATATGATATTTTAATAATTATTTAATTAATATTTGACTAAATATAACTATATATTTTTAGATATAATATTTAAATAATACATAACGTACCATTTAGATATTATTTTTTGGCCGGGTCTGGGTCCAGGATCGGGTCCAGTCAGGTCCGATTGGGTTTGGGTCGAGCTCCAATAACTTCAGGTCCGGTCGGGTCATGGTCAGGGTGCCATAAATTTTTTTTTCGGGTTTGGGTTGGGGCAGACCTGGACCCGACACGACCTGTTGCCACCCCCTAAACCCATCTTGCCATCATTTTACAATTAACTTCCCCAAAGTTTTTTTTATCAGACTCTGTCTTTGGTACAGCGGCCGATCCTTATTTTTGTAGAAAAAACACATCGATGTTTACTTCTTCGGTGCAGTTTGTATAAAGCCTCCATTCTAAACAATCAAATTAGAGGCTACCTTCAAATATTGTCAAGAAATGTGGTTTCGATATTGAAAATCATTGTGATAGCCTTAACATATATTTTCATTTTTATTTATATTGTAAATATTGAAAATTGATGGTCCAAATATACGTTACAAAATATACTAGTTTAAAAAATTGAAATTCATTCTTTCTCATGTCCATGCATCTTGAGGTCGAGATTATCAATTAGAGGATCTTCGAGCATCAAAACAACCTCTTCTAGTGAAATTTTTGGGGTAGATTCTGATTTGATGGTTTAGAGCCTCAACTCTATATAAACTTTTCCCTTTGGCCTTAGAAAGATAAAGATTTAAAGTTTCCCGTCAACCATCCTAAGCTCAGATAAAAGAGGTGTGTTGCATTAGGTAATCAGCTAATGAGGAACAAAATTTAGGTACCCGACCCTAATTACTTAAAATAAGACTTAAATGATGGTGATTATCCATTTGATCACTATTGCAGGAATAATAGATACCTTCAGTAACCCTTTTACTCATCTTCGACTGTTAGTTCCAAAGTCAATGATAACTTGGGGGACAACCACTGCAGAAACAAATGTGAGGTAGACGGTAGATATGTTTGGTGGAGTCCATCTTTCGGAAGACCAAGAAAGGGCGATTCAAAAAAAAAATGATTAATTGCCTGTCTATTCAATTTGCTTTATTATAACAATATATTGTTTATAATAAAGCCACTTTTCCTCAAGTTATCCACCGTCGGAGAGACTATTTTGAAACATTAACCAAAAGAAAGTCTGCACATCAAAATGAGGCAAAGATATTTTATAAGGGTGCGGTTTGTATAGAGCCTAAGCCCTAAACAATCAAATTAGAGCCTTCCTTCAAATAGTGTCGAAATATGGTTTCAATACTGAAAGTCTTTGTGATGGCCTTAAAATATATTTTTATCTTTATTTATAAAGTTTAAAGTTTAAAAAATAGTGTGGATTGACAGATCTATGAAAACTTGAAAATCTTGAAAATTGACGATCCAAAAATACGTTACAAAATACACTATTTCCAAAACTTGAAATACATTTTTGTCTCATGCCCATACATCTTGATGTCATCAAGATGATCAATTTGAGAATATTTGGGCATCAAAACAATATCTTCTAGTGAAATTTTGTGGTTGGCTCCAATTTAATTGTTTAGAGCCTCTATATAAACTTTTCCCATTTTAAAAATAATCTATAAGAAAGAAAAATGTGAAAATAAGTATTCATGGCCAAAACACTTTCCAGTCTTTGCTAAAATGATAGAAACTATAAAAAATATATTACAAATGGATTTCTTATTTTTTGGATTTTTTATTTTTTGAATTTTGTTTTCTTTAGATTCCCGAGTCAGTCCACCCCACTCGGAGTTACTCGTATTTGCCAGTGTGGCGAGTTTGAGATACTCGGGAAAGTTCGAGTACTCGCCCAAGTTTTTTCTTCACTGGTAAAAAATTGTATATTTTGCATGTTGCATTCGAAACAAAAAGGTCACCGTAAACTCACCTGAGTGAGTTCCCAAAATTGGTTCTTCTTCTCTTTGTTCAGTATGGTAAACTTGTTGTAGCAGCTCCATAAGGTCCATGAACTGCTCAACAAATTTATCTTGAGTATTCATGGTGTGGTTTGTATATAAGGCTAAGGTCATTACCAATCAAAGCACGTAACACCTTTAAATAGTATCAAAACATGTTGTTTCAATACCAGAAATCTTTATGACTGTCTGAACTTTATTTTCATCTCTAACTATAAAATCTCGAGATTAAAAAATAGTGTAGATCGAGCATATCTATAAATACTTGAAAATCTTTAAAATTGACCGTCTAGATAGTACATTGTAAGTTGCACTATTTCCAAGATTTGAAAACAATTTTTTCTTATGTTCATACATCATGATTTCGTGATGATCTAATTGAGGGTTTTTCAGCACTGAAACAACCTCTTTTAGTGAATTTTTTAGATGCATCAAACCTCACCCTTATATAAACTTTTTTTTTATATTCATAATTGTAAAGAAAGACAGATACCACAATACCGGAACAATCCACTTCTCAACTAGTGTAACAATGTTATACTAGCCCAAGACTTACAAGCACATAAAAAGAAGAACAACAATCAAGAAGAGGTGGAAGAAAACTAACATTCACTAAAGAAAAATATGGGGTACACAAATGCATTACAATTTTGACACTTAGGATTAACCTTAACATATGTGCTCCAAGGTACATAAAGGCATTACAATCTTTACACCCAAGATTAACATTCAACATGACCCAATTTTCTCACCACACACGTCTCTTTAAATAGAGGTTTTTACAACTATATTTCCTACAATAACTAACCATTTCTACCTATAACTACTAACCACCTAGTAGTTTTACAACTTCCTACCATTTGTAACTATAACTACTAACCACCTAGTAGTTTTACAACTTCCTACCATGTAAACTTACAAGTAGGACCTTACTACATCACTAATATTAAAATAGCATGAAAACTAATATATTTTTTAGAAAATACACTTTAACAATTTTAACAATCGGTAATAAGACTTGAATTCATAATTTTCAGCCTTGTAAATGGGAGATTAAGTGCTTTCTTTCTAAAAGGACAGCTTTTGAGGTGTTATTTTACGATGGGGTTTTGGTATGTGCACTGATACACCAGTCTCCCTCCAAAACCATATTGAAGATAGATTTTGGATCTAAAATCCAGATCATGAATCTGAAGAAATTTAAATTTTAATCTTAGATAATTTAGACTTTGTTTTTGGACCCCTTTTTTTTAATCTTTTAAAATTATCATTTTTAAAGGCTAAATTCATTTTTATTTTATTTTTTTGGAATTTTGTAATTGTGGTGGTTGAGATTTATGCGTTGTAAAATTTTGGATCTAGATATAAATATGGAGGCACCAAGACTTTTTAAAAGCATGGATTTCGATTTACGCATATTTTGGTTATTTATTAGGGATATAGGAGCTTCTCATGCTTCCTATAAAAAAAATAAGCGCATGGTTTACCAAACGTCTGTTGCGTGAAAATAACAGTGTTATAAAATTAACAAACACATTACGATATGTAAAGGGGACAAAAGGAATAAGTAATGTAGTTTTAAACTTTTAATATTATGTATTCATTTATAGAGGATCGTATGCCAATTTTTACTGGTAAATGAAAATCATGTCTATTTCTTGCATCTTTTTTATCTTGAGTAGTTAACCAGAATTTGAACATTGAAAGTTAGTGTTACACTAAGCCTCTTATACTTCTTGCCTACATGAGCAGGAATTGGGTCATCATCATTATTATAGAGCCATTTTTCAACTATTTAGGATCCGTTACATGAATCCTGATCTCCCATTCTACTCTATCAAGGGTTATACCTTTAATTAGGTCACGAGTCCCCATATCTTTTTTCGCTACTTCTAATCATATCCTTTTGGACATATACCCTCAGATAATTGGTTCATCTGAAGCTAAAGTATATTTAGCAATGGCCAAACCTTTATTCTTTCCTTAAATGCAGTAAAAAATTCGGACTCTTTAACCATTTCAAAGCGAAATCCCAGAGGAAAAGTGAAGTACAACGATCATGAGCACAAAGCATGTACTGCTCCGTTGGGCTCATAATTGTTATGTATTCCATTTTGGACATGAGAACAAATCCATGGTATTGGATAGATAAAAACCCTTAGTATTTATACGTTGTTGAAAATTCATCAAAATATATGATCTTGTAACAAATTTTTCCATAAATTGAAATAATACTTATTTTAGAATTTTTTTCATAGTTTTTACCATTTAATGCCGGATCCAAATAGTTGGGATAAGACTCAAATGATGATGATTATGGATGCTGGATTGCCCAAAATCAGTAAACTAACTCAACTTGTTATGCCCGAATCAACACTCGATATTTAAAGCAGTAATTTTTACATATACAACATATCTTTTAAATTATGGAAAAATACTTTTGGATGGGGTTCTCTCGACATTTTGCAAGGTTCTTGGGTTGTGGAGTGGTGGTTTTGCTTTCATCTATATTGGAATGCCTATTGTTGTAAACAAGATGCCAAAGTCAGTTTGGGACCTTATAATTCTGAGTTTTTATGTTAAATTAGATATGTGGAAAGTCAATTCTTTGCTTTTGGAAGGGAGAATCACATTGATTAAGTCTACATTATCGAACTTGTCAGTACAAATGATCTCTTATTGATTCGGTTGTTGCTGGACTTGAGAGATTGATGAAAGTGTTTCTTTGAGGTGGCCATGAAGAAAAAAAAAGAAAGTATCACGTGGTTAGCTGGGATACCGTATGCAAAAAAAGAAAAAAAAGAATGTGGTTTGAGAATTAGAAAGCTCAAACTTAAGAATAAGGCATCAACGACCAAATGATGGTGGAGAAGTTTGCATGATGAAAATTAATTATGGAGACAAGTGATAATTATGAGATTGGACTTTTGACAAATGGGAATGACACTGGTGGTGGCATATATTTGGAGAGATATCTTTTACGTGCAAAGTGTATCGCGTGACAAGTATAAGATCTTTGTCGAAGATTAAAGATAATATTTTTTTTTGGTATCATAAGTGGTTTGAGGATTATACATTGAAATATCTTTTTCTTAAATAGTACTCCAAAATCCATGACTAATTTGGTTAATAAAGTCTTGTAGGCGGTTTCTGTAAGTGGATTCCGGTGGAGCATCCTTTACATGTATAATAAGGTCTTTGATGTGCCAGTGGTTTCAATCCTTGGGAACGGTGCATTATTGTCCTAATGGAGAAGATGAAATAGTTTCAAAGTTGGAACCAGATGAATCTCCTTTATTTGTTACATGATGGATTGAGATGGGCACTACCGACAACGGCAATGGTGTGATATTTGATTATTTTATCCATTTAAAATTATTTATCTAACATTTTTTTGCACCTAAAATTTAAGCTCAATCCCACGCATAAAATTAAAATACTAGATGTTTCTTTAAAACAATGGGACATAAATATTAAGAATACTTTTTAAATTTCAAAAAAATACAAGAAATATTTAGGTAAAGTCTCTAAACTTTCATGATACTGTTGAAAAGTACGTAGCTAGCTTGAAAGGTACATAACCCAATATGTTGTCCCTCAAAATTAAATTCCTATGTGGAAAGAGAGAGAATCCACCTTCCTCCTCCATCCAAGAAACAATCTCACCAAAACTTGAAAAGTTGAACAAATGGAGAGAGAGAGCTGCAAACAAAAAAAAATCTCTTTCAAACTTTAAAATCTGAACAAATAAGAACAAATTGCCACCTACAAGCCCCAAAAAGCTACATTAGGTTGGTCTTAATAAACATGATGAATAAGATTATATATGGTGGAGGCTGTAATGGTGGAAACACAACATCATCAATAGCAGAAATCAGATTTTCTTCACCGGGTAACAGGGAAAACCGTGGCTAGAAAACCGATCCAAACAAAATACAAAAAGATGAACAAGCCCTCAAAGGTAGGGATTACAGAGAGAACAGAGAAAGCCGCTTCAGGTGCGGATGGACGGGCGTATGAGTATATGGTGTATGATGATTATGTCGCTATCAATGGTGGTATCATTATTTCTGTGGCGGTGGTGGTGGTTGTGGTGGTGGTGATAGCGGCAGTTGTAGCAGCTTTCTTATTTCAGGATCCTGGCGCATCTGGTGATGGCACTGCACCCGCGTCTGTAAGGATTGGCACGACTGGTGCGTTTGCAGTTATAATAAGATGCACCCCTGTGGTTGCAGGGGACACGATCCTTTTTGAGGGCTCCGTAGCTTATGTAGCGCTTGGCACCCCCCAAAAGCCTTCTGCTGGTCTCAGACTCCATTGACATTTCTTCATCTTCGTCCACAAAGTCGCCCACAAGGTTGTCACCACCATCAATGTCGCTAATGCTAACATCTGCATCCAAACTCTTGAAGCGCCAGTCATTGTCAGGAATTAAGGCGCCGGACATACCAGCCATACAGGCCGCCGCTACAAGAACTAAGAGGATAGACAATATCTTCAATGCCATCGAGGATGGTGGTGGTGGTGGTGGTGGTTTATAATAATAATAGAATGAATATTTATTATAATAATTATTATAAGAGACTTTGGCTTTGGAAGAAGCTGAACTTTAGATCTGGTTGCCCCCTACCTTCTTAGAGAAGGAGGGAGAGAATGTGAAGATGATGAAAAGAGAGATAGAGATAGAGAAGGGCACGAGACATGTTCTATGAATGGGGCTTCTTGTTAGTTGGGTTTGGAACGGGTATGCGTGTAAGGGTTCTCTCAGTTATTGGCTCACCTCAATTGTAGGACCATCTCTCTCTCTCTCTGCTCTGACTATGTAAAGTCCAACTTCCTTTCCATTATTACAATCAAACCCTAAAACGAACCCTTTTTAACTTTACATGGCTAAATAACCAAATTTTTGTATCATACTATAAAGAAAAAATTGTTTATATAAGGTTGACACCTTATATTATTGTATTGTAGAATTAAAGAGCACCTCAAAACTCCGTCGGAATACGTTATTTTGATTTTAAGATATCATCTAATTGATCATCTCGACATCGAACTCCGTCAGAATACGTTATTTTGATTTTAAGATATCATCTAATTGATCATCTCGACATCGAGTTGTATGGGTGTAGGAAAAAAAAAATCTCGAGTTGCAAAAATAGTACATCTTGCAACACATTATCTAGACCGTCTATTTTCAAGAATTTTGTTCGTTTATAGATTTGCTTGATTTGAAACATTTTTTTAGTTTAAAATTTTGTAATTATATATGAAAATAGATTCTTGGGCCATCTTAAAAAATTTCAACACTAAAATTGCATCTTATGATAAAGTTTGGAAGTGTGTCTTACTTTGATTGTTGAATAGTAGCTTGTGAAATACTTAAGAAATCTAAAGGATCATAACCTTTTTCTTATAGAAATATATATAATGGGACTATTTACTTTTGATACAAAGACACAATCATCATTAACTATTAGATTTAAAATCAAATGGTTAAAGATATGTTATTGTTTGGGCACAAAGTTCAAAATACAATTTTTCTAATGTTGTGGCTATTGGATTTCACATTCAAAAGCTAAAACTAACTCTTACCTCCTCGTTTAAAAAATAAAACGTTCTCATATTCAATCCCTTTTCTTATTGCTTGTAAAAGGATGGTAATTAAAGAGCATTTCGTGTAAGTTAATGGGAGAAGGATGGTAATTAAAGAGCATTTCGTGTAAGTTAATGGGAGATTTACATACGGACAGGTTACGAAGTTTTAAAAAATCGATGTATCTAATCTGACTCTTTTCCTTATCATATGTTAAATTAAAATTTTAAATATTGAAAATAGGTATTTTCTTTTCAAGATTTTAAGAGCTATGACAAGTCATTGGTTCATCCAACTTGCTAATTTTTTCCAATTAATATCACGGCAAAGAAACTTGTTTTTAATAAAAATGCCACATCACTAAGTAGTTATAACTATAATTTTCCATCAATTGTTTCAATCAATATCACCCCCATTTTTTCAATCAATATGACCCCCATAAATTTAAAGAGATCATCGTGACCCCCTCTCTCTATGTATAATAGAATCGAAGCACTTCCTTATTTGTTTCTTCAGCTCACTTCCCTCGACCTTTCATGCGACCATCATATCTTACATCTTGATGCAACTCCCTCTTTCAAAAGTAAATCGGCACATCAATAGTCAAGTACCATAACCAAAACTTTGTTAATGGTTGTGTGTGCTATTGTTTCTTTGTTTTTGTAGTTTCATACTTCTTTTTATGTAATGGGGTTGTTTTGATGTTATAGATTTCATGGATAATATTCATGGAGATCGGCATTACAAAGATTCGATATAGATTGCCCCTTATGTTTATCATGCATTACATGTGTCCATGAAATTCTTATTCACATAACTATTGAATTCCATTGCATATTTATACGATGATTTATGTTTTACTTTCGTATCTGCAATGCACATAATCCAACAAGTTATTATTTTTCATATATATTAATTATTGAGGTCATTTATTTAAGCAAATCTTGACCTACTCTCTAAAATATAACTGGGGTCTATGGCTCTTTTTCATCTCTCATAAATATTAATTCTACTTATTTTGGTGGAATTGATATTTATACAAAAAATGCTTAAAATGTGAAAATTGATCTCCGTGCAGAAATGGGCCTCCTAACCTGGAAGGGCATCCAAAAAGGATTTACAGCCTGTTTCTATAGAAATGGGTCTCTTAGAGACCCATTCCCAGAGACCGAAACATGCACTAAGGGAAGATATATCTTCCCCTTGTTTTCTAGGGGGAAATATTATTTTTGAAACCCAAAATTTATTTGGATTGTCTATAAAGAGATCATTTTTTTGTACATGGAGATAACAATCATTCTCATTTATTAGATGTCAAATTGGATGGCTTGGGTGAGCCGCGAAGTCCAAAAAAACGTTCAATAAGCTCGACTCTCGAACATTTGATCCAAAACGCTATATATTACCAATACGCTATATATTACCAATAACCTAAGGGATTAAGTTATATATTACCAATAACATAAGGGATTAAGTTAGCCAATACCTCAAGAACTGCTCATTCTAGTTTTAAAGAATCAAGGACAGAGTAGGGACAATGCCATTCATTCGGTTAAATGAAACTTTTATTACTGATTTTAGGACCCTTGCCGGATCGATGAGATCCAAGACATAGCAGCTGACACAACATCCAAGGTTCGAGTCCTAGGTTAACCTATAGGAAAGACCAAGTTGACATTCATTGAGGCCAATATGTTTTAGGCTACACAAGTGACATATGAATCTGTTAATTGAAAAGGGAAGTGAATATGCATCGTCTCTCAAGTAGTTATCAACCTCTCTCAAGGTTTACATTAGAAAAACAGGAAAATTGGTGGCCAAGGGCTCATAAACTAATTCAATTTTTTTTCTTTTTTTTTTTTCTGCAAATTGGGTTGACATTTAATTTTAAAAATATAGCAATTTATTTTTATTTACTTTCTATGTATTGGATTGACATATAGGTAGTGTTTTGAAACTCCATTGACCAAGGTATTTGCTCCTTGACGGAGCATATTGCTTCATGTGAGTCGGGAGGACTCGTCGAGTCCTATAGTGAGAAAAGAAGCCCTAATAAAATATGCAAATAAAATGAAGGTAGTCAAAGTAACAAAACCAAAAGAAAAATTTAAAAATCAAAATTAAGCTTAAATTAATTATAAAAGAAATGACGGGTGTTTGTTTTTGCATAGTCCCTATTTTTATATTTTCTTTTTTTTGGATTTTTTAAAATCTCCCCATCTATAATTTAGATTTTTTTAGATCCATTTGGTTCACTTCAAAATCATTTGAAAAAAAAGTATACACCACTCCCATAAATTTTTTTTTTATAATTTTTAATTTCTTACTTTTTCAATGTAACATGAGTTCTATAAATACAACTTTGGGCAACTCTGCATTGCCCGCACGAGTTTGAGTCCAAGTAGACTTGGTCAAGTCATGAGACACTGCATGTAATTTTGAAAATATAGCAATTCATGCAATTTTGAAAGAATGAAGTTTCTATGAGGCTTAGGCTTTACGAAGTTTTCATAAAGTCTCACCTCAAATCTTCGCCAGTAAATCACTTTCTGCAATGAAAATCTCCACGATGGCTCTAAAATCAATTCTAACACCAACCATGCGATTTGAAACTCAAAAAGTAGTATATGCAAATTTATAAACACTTACTTTTAAGGTGAAATAGACGGTTTAGATAATTTGTTACAATATGCATTATTTTTAGGGCTTAACATCTCTTTCTTTTTTCTTTTTTTTTTACAACAATATAAAGGTATTTCAATGCTTGGAATCTAATTTTCGATGAGATATGAGGTGAGGCTTTACTTTAATAGGAATGCAGCTCTATCAAACCATTTTCCATTTTTTAAAATATTTGTGCGTCCTTAAGCACAGCTTGCCCCACCTAAAAATATATATATAAAAAAATTAAAAAATAAATTGACTTAACATTTTTGCTGCGCGCCTATCCAAAAACTCTAGTACATCCATTTTACGAGACATAAAATTAGGACATTCCATAAAATCGCAGCCATCCATTTTCATCCGAGCAGTTGCACACTGATACTTTAGCGCATGCCGCCGCTCTTACTGTTTCCCAGCATATCTTTCGTCTTTGCTTTACATCACCCCTCACCTTCCGCCATTGCTGCAGACCCCCAAGCTCGCCTTTCTCCTCCATTTCTTCGTATTCTCTCACCACCGCATAACTACCGCCACTCCTCCCTCTCTCTCTCGCTCTCTATTCAGTTTTTTTCCGTCATTTTTTCATTCCATTTTTGCCCTGCTCTCACGAGGATCTCCACCATTTTTTAAGCTTATCCGCTCAGCCACCGTCTCCCCTTTTCGCATCAGGGACTCAGCGTCACTCATGTATGACTATTATTTTCTTCTTTGCGGGACCTCTACGGAAAGATCTTTCAGCTGATGAAATTCCTTGCTTTTATGTTCATATATGCCTTTTATGATCTCTGGTTAGATGCTTGTTATTTGAGGCTGTTTTCTTTCTTCAATGATGTTTTGGTTCGTTTTCTTATATGCCATAGATTATAAGGTTTAGTAATATGTAGTTTAAAAGGATTGGATTGTGGTGTATGGTTTAAAAGGTTTCTTTTCCTGTATTCATTGTTCCTAACATCATTTAGGAGTGACTGTTTCTAATAAACTTTATTAGGTTCTTATGTGAAGTATTTAGAGGTTTTATGGAGTTTAACATTCTGTTTTTTAGGTTGTCTTGTGTATTTTATAGACATTTTGATCATGCATTCAATGAGAAATGCTCATGTTCTGTTTTATTATTAATTTAATACTTAATGAGAAAAGTTTATATAGAGCCTAGGCTCTAAACAATCAAATTAGAGCCTACTTCAAAACTTTCACTAGAAGACGTTGTTTTGATGCCCAAATATAATCAAATTGATAATCTTGACATCAAGATGCATGGACATGAGAAAAAAATAGATTTAAAATTTTGGAAATGGTGCATCTTGTACCGCATTTTTGGACCATCAATTTTCAAGATTTTCAAGTTTTCATAGATCTGCCCGATCTACTCTATTTTTGAAGCTTTAAATTTATAACTAAAGATAAAAATGTAATTTAAGGCAATCACAAAACTTTCCAATATTAAAACTATACTGCTTGACACTATTTGAAGGTGAGCTCTGATTTGATTGTTTAGAGCCTCGGCTCTATACAAGCCGCACCCATACTTAATTGTTGAGGGTTTTTGGTTTATCTGAGCGAGCATCTTAATTTTACTTATACTGTTAATTTAAGTACTTTATAATGGATTGGCTAATGCTAGAGGGCTCTTGTTTTGGTAAAGATCCTACACTGTGCTTCTACGAGATGTTCCTTGTTGTGATATTCTCTTTGTATTACTGAATTTTTTTGGTTTTTTGGATTGCTGATATGAAGAATTATTGTTCTTCAGTAGCTTCTATTGCCACTTAGCTTCATTGGTATTACTATTTTCATGATTGATGCAGGTTGTCTTGTTGATATTGGTATGGTAAGGTCTACATTGCATTCATATTGTTGCCATTTGAAATGGCTTCCTGTGTTCTACGTCTTTTCTCTTATACTTTATGTTGGTATATGACTAATTGGTGTCGAGCAAGGCCCTTCTTATTTATTCTTTAGTTGAGCGCTCTAGTTTTTTGGGTTATTGAACCGGTCCACATGCACCACCATTCAGTGCTCTACAAAAATAGGGGTTTGGTTTGGGTCAACCTGCAGACCTGGTGGATCACCTAGACCTAGGTCCAGGTCCAGACCCTTAAATGGATCTGACTTAATTGTATAAGGAAAAAGTTTATATAAGGTTGAGGCCCTAAACAGGCGCACCTCAAAAGTTCATTAGAAGAGCTTGTTTCGATGTAAAAGAACCCTCAAATCGATCATCTAGATCCCAAGATTTAGAGACGTGAAAAAATATGGATTTCAAGTTCAAAAAATAGTGCATCTTCTAATGCATATTTGGGCTGTCAATTTTCAATATTTTCAATTATTTATAGATCTGCTTGATCTACACTTTGTTGAAATTTATAACCAGAGAGAAAATAAATATTCACGTCATCACAACTATTTTTGCTAGTGAAAAATCATCTTTCAACACTATTGAGAGTTGCCCCTTGCTTTGATGGTTCAAGGCCTCAACCTTATACAAACCACACCCATCTGATATATACATTTACATGTGTATATAATCATATACTTAGGTGCATTTTATATACCAGTTGGGTCGGGCCCTGGTCATAAATTTATATGCACCTTCCAAACTTGGGTGTGAAAACTGGTCAAAAAGAAAAGAAAAGAAAAGAAAAGAAAAGAAAAGAAAAGAAAAGAAAAGAGTGAATTACTTGAGTACTTGGATGAAAACAAAGGATATTTGGATGAAAATTTCTTCATTTTGAAGATTAATTTGTTCCACAGTAACCCCATTTTTGAAACCGTAGTTCCATTTCCCAACTAAACTCGACCAAAAATTCCAGGCGTGCCCCTGATTTTTCTGTAACCCTAGGCATCTGACTCCACTGAATTTTCTCTTTCTTTTGATGAAGCAGGTAGTCGTTAGCCTATGGTTTGAAGAGGAAACATTACAAAAAAGAGAAAAAAAAGTAAAAACTGGGTCTTCCACTCTATCATTTATCCTTTTTAAATTCACTTCAAAATCCGCACCTTCCATTTATTGAATGATAAAATAAGACTGCAGCCTTAATTGTTGGTATAGGGCTATAGGCTTGCAAGTACATTTTCATAAAAGAGTTTATATAAGGTTGTAATATTATATTATAGCAGTAAGGTGCACTTCAAAAATCCCCATTTAGGACTTTACTGAAGTTAGAAAAGCTTCTAATTGATCATCTTGACCTCAAGACGTACGGCTATAAAGAAAAAAGAATTTCAAGTCCTAAAAGCAGCACATATTATAACATGTTATCTGGATGGTCTATTTTAAGATTTTTAAGTGTTTACATATCTGCTTGATCTGCATTGTTTTTAGAATTTGAACTTTCATAATTATGATTCAACATACACTTTCAAGTCATTGTAGGGTTTCTAACACCAGAACTATATCTTCCAAAAAAATTAGAAATGCATCTCACTTGTACAGTACAAGGTGGGCTCTTTATGCAAACCTCACCCTTGTTTTTCGCATAACAAAGACCTTACTTTGAACCAAACTAAGAACTTGATTCATTTCAATGTTGAAAGGTTTTAGAAATCAAAATCATACTCTGAATTGGCATGGAACTGGTTTGAGTTGATCAATCCGACTTGTCCTGAGTCAGTTGACCATGTATATATGCATTTGATAATTCAAAAAATAAAGAACTAGAGGAATAGTTATAATGGAGTTCTTCAAACAAGACCAAACAATTCTCGATCCAGGCCACCTATCTGGATGCAGAATCGTCCAGGACCGAACGGGTTCAGAATAGTATGGGTCGCAGCCCGGTTGGCCCCTAAATCCCCACCCTATAAACCACTATTTTATGTTATTTTATTTATTTATTTTGGATTATCGATTCAGACGGTTTGGATCGCCGATTCGGGGTGGACAATCTGCCCCATGGATCCATTTTTTAAAACATTTCTTGAATCCTAGGCCTAGTTGACTCGAGTGATTTGGGTGGGCTCCATTATTTTTTAAACCCTTGTTTATATAATCATTGTTTTTCTTTCCCTTGTCACATTACTTTTTTCCATGAATTTTCTCAAAAGCGCTCTCTGTTTATATAGGTTCCAATTTCTTAGCCAATTTCTTTCCCCAATATAATAGTTAAATGAGTTCATAAGGTGACTTGAAATCCATTTTTTTCTCATGTCCATGCATCTTGATGTCGAGGTGATCAATTTGAGGATATTTGGGCCTCAAAACAACCTCTTCTAGTGAAATTTTTGAGGTGGGCTCTAATTTGATTGTTTAGAGCCTCGGTTCTATATAAACTTTTTCCAATATTATTAGATGTTGTTTTCTTTGTGAATCTTATTACTACATATTCAAGAAGGAAATAAGAGAATGAAGAAGAAAAATGAAATTGGAACAAGCATTACAATGGGCATGTATCTCAGACTCCCAGTAGAAATATAGCTCCCTGTTTTCTGTTTATGTAGCAAAGATGGCAATGGGACTCCTAACCTGGTACTTGGAGCCTGAAAACCACTTTATATGACCCTGAGAGACAGATGAAGGCTGAGCTCCCCTAATTGAGAATGTGACTTGATATGTTTGCTTCTGGTTCACCTGCATAAATGAAAGCATGCTAGGCTCCACCTTCACGCTCACACCATTTGGTTCGACCACTTCCACCTCATAGGAAGAGTTTGCAGCTCCGACATTTGTTACTGTCCTCTTAGTGCTAAAAGAAGAAGGCCCGGAGGGAGAGAAAACCACAGAGAAAGATGGGTAATTGATATCCCTTTCAGAGATACTAGTTATTTTAGAACAATTGACCTGCTTTTCTGTAATGGTCAGTATCTCCGTGGCACTGTAACCCAAACCACAAAAAAAAGGTATATAATCATCCATATCAATGTCATAAACTAGGCCAGGATTAGTTGCTTTGGTGGGGTTTACATGGCCTGCTCCTATTGTGAAGACATTGGCGAGTTCGCCGGTGTATTCTGTTATGGGCTTTCCCTTATTGTTTAGAACATTCGTCGTGGTCATCATGGCTGACTTGATTGCCGCTGGCGACCAGTTGGGGTGTGCAGCCTTGAGCAGAGCAGCAATGCCACTCAGATGCGGGGTTGACATTGATGTGCCTGATAGCACATTGAAGATCAATTTCTCAGGGTCCTTTGTGGCAAATGGCCAGCCAGCCAAGATGTTTAGTCCTGGGCCTATGATGTCGGGCTTTAGAATACCCATGCTATTGAGATTGGGTCCTCTGCAGAGAAGTTGGCGACTATGGGGGCCACTGCCTCCCCAATCACGATCCCCTTTACTATGATTGTGGCCTTGGGATCTTGGGTTGAGTTTATGTAGGCTTTTATCTCATTGCCTTCGGAGATGTTCACGTTAGATATTGGCAATACATTGCCTTCGGGCCTTAACACAAAGCCATCCTCAATCGGATTCACGAATATCAATCCTGCACCCCCAGCTTTTTTGACAATAGAGCCAATTGGGAACCCGGATCCACGGGCAACGTTGTCACATAACATCAACTTACCAGAGACACCAAACATGCTAAGGTTGCCGTTGCATTCGCGATCTTTGACAAGGTATACCAGGGGCAATAGCATGGGTTTGGTACCTTTCGGCAGGAAGAATGATTGGCCCACAAGTACTTTGCCACTTCCGAGCTTTGTGTCAGATCGGAGCTCCCGGTCCACTGTGCTGGCACCCACTGTCAGTATCCAGGGTGCTAGGTTCTGAACCGAGTTGTTCAACGGCCCAAAATTCCCTGCAGCGCAGCTCACAAACATGCCCTTCTGCATGGCCCTGAATGCTCCGAGAGCAATTGGGTTAGTAGAGTAGTTTTGGTACTTGCCAGCAAGAGAGATGGACAAAACATCAACACCATCGTGGATTGCCTGGTCGAACCCGGCCATGACATCGGAGTTATAGCAGCCTTTTGGAGAGCACACCTTGTACACAGCTAGATGCGCGAGTGGGGCCACTCCTGCTGCAGTGCCCCAAGTGGTATTTTGGAACCCTGCCCCACCCACAAGCTGCCAGCTGCGGTTGTGGCTGTGTGCGTTCCATGGCCATCCTGGTCCCGAGGCGAATCAGTGATATTATTGGGCATAGCAGAGTGAGCACCCTTGCTGAAGACTTGGGCGCCAATTAGCTTGTTGTTACAGTGCGACGAGTTAAAGTCTTGGCCAGCATCCACGCACCAGCCTTTCCATTTCTTAGGTGGTGGTGGCATCCCTGTGTCATTTAAAGATGGGTGCTCTGGCCATATGCCGCCATCAAGAACGCCAATGATGGTGCCACTGCCCAACCTAGTATCGTGCCAGAGGCCCTGCTCGGGGCTGAGGCCGAGGAACCGAGGGGTGCGAGTGGTTTGCAAGGGAATAACCTGATCCACATAAGCATGCAGAAAACCGTCTTTAGTCGTCATGGATTCCACTTCTGCAGAGGTAAGCCGCGCAGCGAAACCATCAATCACATTGCTATACATGTAGACCATTCTTGATTCGGATTCGCAGCAGTGATGGACTCTGGCAAGAATGATTTGTACCAACTCTCTCTGTCCATTTTCGAGCTCGCAATCCCCTTCACAGGCTGGCGTACATGAACTATGTATGTCTTCGACTGAGCCATGGGGTGCTGCTGCCGTGAAGCAGAGGCCAGGCCAAACTCAGCGACCAAAGTCATGGAGCAGAAGAACATAAACACAATACCCGCCATTTTCCCCAAATCTCTTGCACCGTGGTTCTGGTCCATTATTCTGTCTCTCTCCCTCAGGCCAATCCTGTGGAGATGGCTTCAGTAACTAGTAGGAAATCTTGTGGGCTCACATGTCTTGCCAGAAATAGAACATTAGAGAACCATGTTTAGAAGATATTAGATTACAGAGCCACTTTTAGAGGGTAATAAGGAAGGGTCCAAATTCTTGAAGGTTAAGTGCATGTGCATTGTATGTGAGCTTCTCAATTTTTAGGACTGAGGCGGGGGAGAGTAACATGAGAGTTCTAGTGATGGGACAGACAAGAATGCACTTTCTATTCTTGGTCTCAACTTTGGTTTTTCAAATTCCAATGAATGAACAAGGAATGGGGTCAGGGTATTGGTAGTTAGGGGGCAGATGCCTCAACATCAGTGAGTGAAAATTTGGGCGGCGAGCTAACTCGGACTCAGTGACCTAGACACGACACCCTAGCGAGTCCAAGTATGCTGAGATGGGTGGTTTGATTTGGGTATCTTAAAAAAAAATAAAAATAAAAATAAAAGAAATAAAAGAAATATTTGTAATATTTTTTTTTATGTTTTGAATCATTTTGACAAAGATTGGAAAGTGTTTTTGACTGTGAATGCTTATTTTTACATTTTTCTTTCTTTTTAGATTATTTCTAAAACACCCCCAATCACAAATTTATTTGCTCAAAATCTATTTTTTCACTACTTTTTTAACCTCATTTATACGTGTCTTGTTTAACTTTTGTATTGTTTTTAATTTTTTAACTTTTGTATTGTTTAACTTTTGTATTGTTTAACTTTTTAATTTTTTAACTTTTTAATTTTTTAACTTTTTAATTTTTTTAATTTTTTAACACTTTTTTGCTTGGTTGGTTGAGTCCAAGTTACTCAGGCTCGGCCAAAAGCCAAGCATCCTAACACTCCTCAACATAATGACCTAGGTTACATTCCCACTTTTAACACTTCTTAAAAAAAAATGAATGACACCCCTTTAGTTTTCTTCGCATCGCATCGTTCATATTGGAGATGAGAGTTAGCTCAATAAAAAAATGATTCAATTACTGAAGGGTGTGGTGTCTATAAGGTTGCAACTTTAAACAGTCCAATTAAATCGCACCTTAAAATTTTATCATAACATGTAATTTTGTTGTAAAAATTCTTAGTATTATTTTCAAATCTATTTTCATACCTAATTAGAAAATTTTAAATTCCAAAAATGGTTAAAATCAGGTAGATTTATAAATATATGAAAATCTTGAAAATGGATGGTCTAGATAATGTTTTGCAAGATGCACTATTTATGATATTCAAAAACTTTTTTTGTTCATATTTATAGATATCGATATCGAGATGATTGATTAGAGGGCTTTTTCAACATTAAAACAATATTTTCGATGAATTTTTGAGGTGCATATGTGATTTTACATTTTAAAGTTGCAACCTTTATATAATAGTTTCCCATTAATGAAACATTTTGTATTGTTATAGATTCAATGCATTTCAAAAATAATATATGAGTGTGTTGTTCTAGTACCAATTCATCATCATCATTATTAGAGCATTTTTTTAAATATTTAGAATTGGTTACACGAATTCTAGCCTATCATTCTAACACCAAGAAAAAAATAGATTAAAATAAAAAATCTGTCAAACTTCATCGACATTAAACTCTCATATTAGTAGAGTCGTTGGACCATCCAAAGGACAGATTTTGTACTTGGGCATGATTGGTTAGGTGTAGCAATTAATATTAAGGTTAAATTACCTAAAAAAAGAAAAAGAAAAGGAAAAAGAAAGGAAGGGTTCTATGCATTATCTAGTAGGTTTGGGGGTAAATAACTAGATGTTATCTTAGTTGGTTTAGGGTTTTGTTACTAAACAATTGATCCCATTACCCCTTTGGTAAGGTGTACTGTCATGCCATAAGACCTATGTAGTCATTGCAAAACACCTATAGGATACAATCGTACCAAAATACCTATGTCATTATAAAAAATTATGAACATCTTATATTAAAGGTAAATAGTCTCATTTCATTGAATACAATCCCTAAATTGTATACAATCCCTAAAATGTATATGATACTAGTTGTTCTGTTAAATAAATTGTTGAGGCTGATTACTGGCAAATGTCATAAAAAGAATTTGGTTTGCACGCTACCTACTAAGCCATCTTAATAGAAAGCAATACCCCGTTAACCTTGCTACGTAATTGATTTCTACACTTAAAGCATGATTAAACAAAACTCATATAAATGAAGTTGAAACGTAGTAAAAAAAAAAAAAAGGATCTTAAAAATCGAATTCTCCTAAAAGGTATTTTTGAAATTTTCATAAAAATATGGGAAAATATAAAAATAAGTATTCATAGCTAAAACACTTTTCAAACTCGACCAAAATGAT